TTTTTTTATTCTTTTTAAGATTCCTGACCTTATCTTTGACGACAAAACTTTTCTTCTTTGTTTTCCTAGAAATAATAGAACTGTTTGAAGATGAAGCTAATTTTTTACTTAAAATAAAAGAGTATATTTAAGGTCAACTTAAAAAATTCATCCTATATTTGAGAGAATAAAAATATACTTAGACTAAAACTCAAAATCTAAAATTAAACTCTTAAGCAAGGTACACTGAGTACCATGTCTGATAGCACGTCTTTCTCTGATAGCAAGTCTTTAAGTTGAATTTGAAGGCTACGTCCGAGATTTTCGTTTCGCAGGGGACCAATTAACATCTCTCGCTTCAGGTACTGCTATCACCCCCTTCTATTGCTTTTCGCTTCCTCTCTCAATTTTTATGTCGCTTCATTCCTCATCACTCTTTTGCTTACGCTTTTATTTCGATATGATGTACTGAGTTGACTTCTTGTTATACTAAATTTATATCTTTCTTTCTGGGTTTGATTATATTGCAATAAGTTTTCTTCTTTTGTTGAAAATTTCCCACAGACTTAAAATTAGGATAGAATTACAAAAGTTGCATTTAGGATGATTTGGTAGCATTTTGTACAATGTATGTGTGACTGGGCAATGTTTAACTTGCAGCAAACTTCTGAGATTTTGTATTGTACTCTTCTTGCTTGGGTTTTGCTTTTTGGGTACAGCAAGTTATTTTGTATTGGTCACCAACGAAGATCTTCTCGCTTCAACTTAAACACAGTAAATGGGTAATTTAAATATCCAATCAGAATAAAAAAGAAATTGGGGGAAATGTAAATAAAAATTGAATTCAGGACAAGAACCCGGGAGTGAAGACTGGATCCGTAAATCAGCTTGAGTAAATTTGTTAGTAGGTAGGTGCGATGATAATAGTAGGTGTGGTTTTGAAATTCCCCCTATTTCATGATCTCTCTCACTGGTCGTTCTTGCCCTCCTTTCCCTCTTCAAGGTAGCGCTTAAAGCTTATAATCATGAACACAATTGGAGAAAGAATGACAAAGCGAGAGAGCTTTGATGATGACCAGGAAAGTTTATTGAAGAGCGATAATAGTGGAACAGATGATGACCCTAAGATTAACTACAGAGGGTGGAAGGTCATGCCCTTCATTATAGGTGAGGAGGGTTTTGTGATTTTATATGCATTTCTTTTTCTGGTTGGTTTTTCTCCTTAGAGCTTGACTGGTTTTTTTCTGTAATTGGCAGGAAATGAGATTTTTGAGAAGCTAGGAGCCATTGGCACTTTATCCAATCTCTTGGTGTATCTTACTACTGTGTTCAACTTGGAAAACATCACGGCTACAAATATTATCAACATCTTCAATGGCAGCACCAACTTTGCTACATTAGTAGGAGCTTTTCTGTCTGATGCCTTTTTTGGTCGCTACAATATATTGGCATTCTGCACAATGGCTTCCTTTGTGGTAAATTGCTGCTGCCTGGTGCTTTTTGTTTATGGATAAACACAACACTGTTAGGGATATCTGAATTTGTAAAAGCCTACGACACTGAGAAGTAGAAAATGTGATTTAAGATCATCCCAAATAGAAGTAATTCCATTTTAAAATCCATATAGAAAGAAAGGTGCTTGGTTTATCTGATTGGCTTGTTTAATTTTTGTATTGGATACCTTGGTTTCCCTGCTTCATACAGGGTTTATTTGCAATCCAACTGACAGCGGCGGTAGAGAAGCTACATCCACCTCAGTGTGAAGAGTCCCCCACATGTCAAGGACCAACAGAGGGGCAAATGACATTTCTTAAGTCTGGTTTAGGTTTATTGATGATAGGAGCTGCAGGGATTCGACCATGTAACTTAGCATTTGGTGCTGATCAGTTTAATCCTAACACGGATTCTGGGAAAAAGGGGATCACTAGCTTCTTCAATTGGTACTTTTTCACTTTCACTGTTGCTCAGATGATATCCTTAACAATTATTGTCTATATACAGTCAAATGTAAGTTGGGCAGTGGGTCTTGGAATTCCTGCTGCTTTGATGTTTGTATCTTCTATAATCTTCTTCATGGGGTCCAAAATGTATGTGAAAGTTAAACCAAGTGGTAGCCCTATAACTAGTATAGTGCAAGTTATAGTGGTTGCAGCAAAGAAAAGGAGGCTGAAGCTCCCGGAATATCTATATCCTTCCCTCTTCAATTATGTGGCTCCCAAGTCAATGAATTCTAAACTTCCCTATACATATCAATTCAGGTAAACAACATCAAGCAGTTAGCATCTGTTGTTAGTTATGATAGATTATTAAGAATTGTTTACCAGATGGCTTATGTTAACAGGTTCCTTGACAAAGCGGCAATCGTGACTCCCCAAGATCAAATAAACCCCAATGGATCTGCTACTGATCCCTGGAATCTTTGCAGTATGCAGCAAGTGGAAGAGGTTAAATGCTTGTTGAGAGTGTTACCCATATGGGTTTCAGGCATTATATACTTTGTTGTAATTGTCCAACAGCACACCATTTTAGTGTTCCAAGCCCTTCTATCTGACAGGCGCATTGGGCAAAGCGAGTTCTTGATCCCAGGAGCATCCTACTACGTCTTTTTGATGATTACTGTGGCAATTTGGTTACCCATCTATGACCGAAAAGTAGTGCCCTTACTCCAAAGGCTCACTGGAAAAGAGGGCGGCATCACACTCCTTCAGAGAATGGGTTTTGGAATATTTTTCGCTATACTCAGCATGGTAGTATCTGCTAGGGTTGAGCAGCACCGTAGAACCCTAGCTTTGATTAATCCTCTAGGAGTAACAATAAGAAAAGGTGCAATCTCATCAATGTCAGGTCTGTGGTTGATTCCTCAGCTGATATTAGCTGGATTGGCGGAATCATTCATGACTGTTGCACAAGTTGAGTTTTACTACAAACAATTTCCTGAGAACATGAGAAGCATTGCAGGTTCTCTTTACTACTGTGGACATGCAGGGTCAAGTTATTTGAGTAGTGTGCTTATTTCAATTATCCACCAAGTCACTGCCAAATCTGAAACTGGGAATTGGTTACCGGAGGATCTTAACAAGGGTAGATTGGATAAGTTCTATTTCCTCATTGCTGCTTTTGAAATTCTTAATTTAGGTTACTTTGTGTTATGTGCAAGGTGGTTTAGGTACAAGGGCACGAGCTGCAGTTCTGTCGAACTCGAAAAAGTGACAAGACAATCGGAAAAAAGTGGTAATGGTCTTAATGATTCGAGTCTATAGCTACTGTGTAGAAATAGGCTACTACAACTTTTCATCGAGTGGAACCACAACTAGCAACGGTTAAAATCAAGATTGAGTATAGTAACAAATATGCAGTCTGTGCTTTTCCAATTAGATAGATACTTTATGTGTAGATGCATTTGACAGATGAGGTGCATTGTTCTTATAATAGGTGCCTACATCCGAAACTTTTGCCTTAAAGCACCTAATGACAGTGAAAGAAAGTATACACTGAAATCACGATTGTATTTTCCTCAATTTGATTCTTACATATGAAGATAATGATTGTAACCACCTAAAGTCGGTCAGAGTTGGTGATCTTTCAGCTCATTTTACAGGGTAAAAAAAAGAACACTATTATTGGAAATGACATTGTTTTTGTAAAATTTTAATTTTACTTTGATTCTGTAATTGTCATACTATTGTTAAGTGTTAAAAACTAGGAGGGTCGTCCAGTTAATCAACCATTGTATTCTACATGGTATGGTTCAATTTCCCTTTGTTAATAATAGAAGAATATTACAACCCATTTGAAATTTTGGTTTACCTGCTCTTTAACTGCTTGTGCATTTAGATAGATTGATACAAATGATGAAACTCTATGATTTATTATAAGTTTTTGGTCACTTTTTTGGTGCAGATTATGCAACAACTCTTATCTGATGACTAACAATTGTGAACATAATTCGGTTTGTCATGCTCAATGAGGCCTTTTCTTTTTAGTTTGAGCCATGGTTTTTTTTCGGGGCTGCTACGTCCTGCACGTCTCCTTTTTTTTCTGCACCCCCATAAGTTACAATATTCCCATTTTACTCCTTTATTAAAAAAATATTAAAAACCCTAAAATTCAAATTTACATTTCCTTTTTTCCTTGCGCCTCGAAACGTACTATACCTTCTTCCCTCTTGTTTCATTTTCTTCTTTTCACAAAATTGTGTAAGGTTGTTGAAGGCAAAATCCCCTCTCGACTTGTTATGGAAGGTGAAAGATTAAGGGAGAAAGGAAGTTTGGAAAAGTTCTTTGAGTTATTTTTAAAAGAAAACTTCAAGAATAGATGTTTCAAAAATTCGAAAATATCTTCTGCAATATCCATTTTTCAAAATTGAAAATAACTTTTAGAACATTTATTCTGGAAGATATTTTTTCTTTTTTAAATAACTCAAACAACTTCTCTATTGGCTATTCTTCTCTAAATTTCTTTTCTCCATAATTTTTCATCTCCCATCACATGTCTAGTGGGGATTTGGCTTCAATCATGCACGACTGTGTAAATGAAGAAAATGAAGCAAGAGGGAACAAAGTGCAGGATATTTCATTTCAAATTAGGGTTTTGGGATTTTTAATAAAGGATAAAATGGAAATATTATAACTTTTCGGGTGCAGGAAGAAAAAGGGAGATGCAGGAAGTGGCAGCCTTTTTTCCGGAAAAAGAAGACGAAGCTGTACTTGCAGTCCAATAGCGAAGGAGTCTGATCCAGAAGAAAAGTATCGACTTCCTTGGTCAGTAAAATCCCAAAAAATTATATTTACTCATTAAGGTAAATAGCAAAGGAAGAGCTTCTTTGATCATGTTTCTCAAAACCATTTTTAGACAAGGTCGAAATAGGTGAAGTATTATACTTGATGTTTTCCTCCTTTGAGACAAAGGTTCAATCTACATTAGACACGGCACCTTGTGATATTTTACGTATATGAACTGACACTAATATTCCAATGATTAACGTCCACAAAAGCTGAACGAGTTTGAAGATCANGGGTTTTGCTTTTTGGGTACAGCAAGTTATTTTGTATTGGTCACCAACGAAGATCTACTCGCTTCAACTCAAACACAGTAAATGGGTAATTTAAATATCCAATCAGAATAAAAAAGAAATTGGGGGAAATGTAAATAAAAATTGAATTCAGGACAAGAACCCGGGAGTGAAGACTGGATCCGTAAATCAGCTTGAGTAAATTTGTTAGTAGGTAGGTGCGATGATAATAGTAGGTGTGGTTTTGAAATTCCCCCTATTTCATGATCTCTCTCACTGGTCGTTCTTGCCCTCCTTTCCCTCTTCAAGGTAGCGCTTAAAGCTTATAATCATGAACACAATTGGAGAAAGAATGACAAAGCGAGAGAGCTTTGATGATGACCAGGAAAGTTTATTGAAGAGCGATAATAGTGGAACAGATGATGACCCTAAGATTAACTACAGAGGGTGGAAGGTCATGCCCTTCATTATAGGTGAGGAGGGTTTTGTGATTTTATATGCATTTCTTTTTCTGGTTGGTTTTTCTCCTTAGAGCTTGACTGGTTTTTTTCTGTAATTGGCAGGAAATGAGATTTTTGAGAAGCTAGGAGCCATTGGCACTTTATCCAATCTCTTGGTGTATCTTACTACTGTGTTCAACTTGGAAAACATCACGGCTACAAATATTATCAACATCTTCAATGGCAGCACCAACTTTGCTACATTAGTAGGAGCTTTTCTGTCTGATGCCTTTTTTGGTCGCTACAAGATATTGGCATTCTGCACAATGGCTTCCTTTGTGGTAAATTGCTGCTGCCTGGTGCTTTTTGTTTATGGATAAACACAACACTGTTAGGGATATCTGAATTTGTAAAAGCCTACGACACTGAGAAGTAGAAAATGTGATTTAAGATCATCCCAAATAGAAGTAATTCCATTTTAAAATCCATATAGAAAGAAAGGTGCTTGGTTTATCTGATTGGCTTGTTTAATTTTTGTATTGGATACCTTGGTTTCCCTGCTTCATACAGGGTTTATTTGCAATCCAACTGACAGCGGCGGTAGAGAAGCTACATCCACCTCAGTGTGAAGAGTCCCCCACATGTCAAGGACCAACAGAGGGGCAAATGACATTTCTTAAGTCTGGTTTAGGTTTATTGATGATAGGAGCTGCAGGGATTCGACCATGTAACTTAGCATTTGGTGCTGATCAGTTTAATCCTAACACGGATTCTGGGAAAAAGGGGATCACTAGCTTCTTCAATTGGTACTTTTTCACTTTCACTGTTGCTCAGATGATATCCTTAACAATTATTGTCTATATACAGTCAAATGTAAGTTGGGCAGTGGGTCTTGGAATTCCTGCTGCTTTGATGTTTGTATCTTCTATAATCTTCTTCATGGGGTCCAAAATGTATGTGAAAGTTAAACCAAGTGGTAGCCCTATAACTAGTATAGTGCAAGTTATAGTGGTTGCAGCAAAGAAAAGGAGGCTGAAGCTCCCGGAATATCTATATCCTTCCCTCTTCAATTATGTGGCTCCCAAGTCAATGAATTCTAAACTTCCCTATACATATCAATTCAGGTAAACAACATCAAGCAGTTAGCATCTGTTGTTAGTTATGATAGATTATTAAGAATTGTTTACCAGATGGCTTATGTTAACAGGTTCCTTGACAAAGCGGCAATCGTGACTCCCCAAGATCAAATAAACCCCAATGGATCTGCTACTGATCCCTGGAATCTTTGCAGTATGCAGCAAGTGGAAGAGGTTAAATGCTTGTTGAGAGTGTTACCCATATGGGTTTCAGGCATTATATACTTTGTTGTAATTGTCCAACAGCACACCATTTTAGTGTTCCAAGCCCTTCTATCTGACAGGCGCATTGGGCAAAGCGAGTTCTTGATCCCAGGAGCATCCTACTACGTCTTTTTGATGATTACTGTGGCAATTTGGTTACCCATCTATGACCGAAAAGTAGTGCCCTTACTCCAAAGGCTCACTGGAAAAGAGGGCGGCATCACACTCCTTCAGAGAATGGGTTTTGGAATATTTTTCGCTATACTCAGCATGGTAGTATCTGCTAGGGTTGAGCAGCACCGTAGAACCCTAGCTTTGATTAATCCTCTAGGAGTAACAATAAGAAAAGGTGCAATCTCATCAATGTCAGGTCTGTGGTTGATTCCTCAGCTGATATTAGCTGGATTGGCGGAATCATTCATGACTGTTGCACAAGTTGAGTTTTACTACAAACAATTTCCTGAGAACATGAGAAGCATTGCAGGTTCTCTTTACTACTGTGGACATGCAGGGTCAAGTTATTTGAGTAGTGTGCTTATTTCAATTATCCACCAAGTCACTGCCAAATCTGAAACTGGGAATTGGTTACCGGAGGATCTTAACAAGGGTAGATTGGATAAGTTCTATTTCCTCATTGCTGCTTTTGAAATTCTTAATTTAGGTTACTTTGTGTTATGTGCAAGGTGGTTTAGGTACAAGGGCACGAGCGGCAGTTCTGTCGAACTCGAAAAAGTGACAAGACAATCGGAAAAAAGTGGTAATGGTCTTAATGATTCGAGTCTATAGCTACTGTGTAGAAATAGGCTACTACAACTTTTCATCGAGTGGAACCACAACTAGCAACGGTTAAAATCAAGATTGAGTATAGTAACAAATATGCAGTCTGTGCTTTTCCAATTAGATAGATACTTTATGTGTAGATGCATTTGACAGATGAGGTGCATTGTTCTTATAATAGGTGCCTACATCCGAAACTTTTGCCTTAAAGCACCCAATGACAGTGAAAGAAAGTATACACTGAAATCACGATTGTATTTTCCTCAATTTGATTCTTACATATGAAGATAATGATTGTAACCACCTAAAGTCGGTCAGAGTTGGTGATCTTTCAGCTCATTTTACAGGGAAAAAAAAAGAACACTATTATTGGAAATGACATTGTTTTTGTAAAATTTTAATTTTACTTTGATTCTGTAATTGTCATACTATTGTTAAGTGTTAAAAACTAGGAGGGTCGTCCAGTTAATCAACCATTGTATTCTACATGGTATGGTTCAATTTCCCTTTGTTAATAATAGAAGAATATTACAACCCATTTGAAATTTTGGTTTACCTGCTCTTGAACTGCTTGTGCATTTAGATAGATTGATACAAATGATGAAACTCTATGATTTATTATAAGTTTTTGGTCACTTTTTTGGTGCAGATTATGCAACAACTCTTATCTGATGACTAACAATTGTGAACATAATTCGGTTTGTCATGCTCAATGAGGCCTTTTCTTTTTAGTTTGAGCCATGGTTTTTTTTCGGGGCTGCTACGTCCTGCACGTCTCCTTTTTTTTCTGCACCCCCATAAGTTACAATATTCCCATTTTACTCCTTTATTAAAAAAATATTAAAAACCCTAAAATTCAAATTTACATTTCCTTTTTTCCTTGCGCCTCGAAACGTACTATACCTTCTTCCCTCTTGTTTCATTTTCTTCTTTTCACAAAATTGTGTAAGGTTGTTGAAGGCAAAATCCCCTCTCGACTTGTTATGGAAGGTGAAAGATTAAGGGAGAAAGGAAGTTTGGAAAAGTTCTTTGAGTTATTTTTAAAAGAAAACTTCAAGAATAGATGTTTCAAAAATTCGAAAATATCTTCTGCAATATCCATTTTTCAAAATTGAAAATAACTTTTAGAACATTTATTCTGGAAGATATTTTTTCTTTTTTAAATAACTCAAACAACTTCTCTATTGGCTATTCTTCTCTAAATTTCTTTTCTCCATAATTTTTCATCTCCCATCACATGTCTAGTGGGGATTTGGCTTCAATCATGCACGACTGTGTAAATGAAGAAAATGAAGCAAGAGGGAACAAAGTGCAGGATATTTCATTTCAAATTAGGGTTTTGGGATTTTTAATAAAGGATAAAATGGAAATATTATAACTTTTCGGGTGCAGGAAGAAAAAGGGAGATGCAGGAAGTGGCAGCCTTTTTTCCGGAAAAAGAAGACGAAGCTGTACTTGCAGTCCAATAGCGAAGGAGTCTGATCCAGAAGAAAAGTATCGACTTCCTTGGTCAGTAAAATCCCAAAAAATTATATTTACTCATTAAGGTAAATAGCAAAGGAAGAGCTTCTTTGATCATGTTTCTCAAAACCATTTTTAGACAAGGTCGAAATAGGTGAAGTATTATACTTGATGTTTTCCTCCTTTGAGACAAAGGTTCAATCTACATTAGACACGGCACCTTGTGATATTTTACGTATATGAACTGACACTAATATTCCAATGATTAACGTCCACAAAAGCTGAACGAGTTTGAAGATCATGAGAGACGAAAATAAAACCTAGAGGCCTCATAGTTTTTCTTTTTTGTTACGTACCAACAAATCTCACATAGAATAAAATAAAAAATAAATATAAATTTATATACACATAAATTCATTGGTAAAAGGATTTTAAAGTGGTACTAAAAATAAATCAAACTTAACTCAAAGCGAACAATATCTCTCCAGTATAGGAATTTATGTGTAAATGTGTATGTATTGAAGCTCCCTACATTTCTAAGGTCTCCAATCCTTCCAGTTATACACGGTGCACACTGAAAGCTACAATACAAAAATTAACTTACTCGAATTTAAGGCCTATGATTATGATTAGCATTTGTATTAATACAGCTAACCAATTGGGTTCACACAGAGAGAAAATTACAATCTGTAGTACACTAACGATTGCGCAAATTACTAGTTAAAGAAATCAAATTACAGAATTTTTTTTAAAAAAAAGAAAATAATTACCATTGTATAACTATAAATACAAAATTCGCTTTCTATTCCTTAACACGATCTCTTTTTCCTTTTATGATGATTAACTAGTATCACTATTATAATAATTTCCTTTGGATGAAAGTGTTACCTTGTGCAGGTTTGATCCTTTAATGGTATTACCAACTTGTGAGAAAGCTTTTGTGGCGTACTTGACTTTTTGTGCATTTGAAACTGTGTACTCAACTCGTGTGAGTAGCCTCTCAACACTGCTACCACATGGTTGGTGGCTATATTTAATTTATATGGTAAGCTTTTCCTTAGAAACAATTCACGCCAGAGTAAAGGAGTGAAGAGAGTGAAGTTTGTGGTGTTGTGATTTCATGCAGTGTCATGCAGTGCATGTTAGCCTTAATGAGTGGATCTAATAATTGAATATGTGCTGTAAACGACAGTTAAGTATAACAATCAAAGAAAGAAAGTGGACATGCCTTGTAAAGTCTAACTAAATGCATTTATGTAGGGTAACGTGTTCTAAGGGTGTCAATCAGAATTTTTTATGTCCGTGTCAATTATTTAACCAATTCAAACCCACCAATATTTAGATCTTCAGACTCAAACACACCCAAAACAAAACGACAAAAATTCATTTAGATATTCATTTCGATTTCGAATCTAACCTCGGTGGTAATCTTAAAAACCAGAAAACTGCACGTCATCGAATCATAACTTACCACAATTTTTAAGCTAAGGCAATCGTGCTAGGAATCTAAGGGTAAGCTCATACATATATAAAAATACCAGAAAACATATTCATAAACCCATCTTTTTAAGGTTAAGGATAAAATAAGAATCAGATATCAATTCATACATTCATAACACTTTTATTTTAAAAATTCTTTAAATATAACACACTCATCTTATACCTAATTCAATGACTAAGGGACTATATTCTTATTGGATTTACTCCTTCTCTCAACAACAGATTAAATAACTATAACGTCTTTCAAAATATATGTATTCAACAAGTCACACGAAGATTAACTTTTGACTCCAAATTTTTTCTGTCAATTGTTCAATATAATAGAGGTAGCTTATGGAATTTGCTCAACAAAATATAAGAATTAGTGTTGTCAAAATGGATTAGAACATGTGGGTCAATATGGTCCATCACGTGTTCAGACTAGATTAAGTTTGAAAAAAATACAATTTTTTTATAGGGGCAATTTTCAATTCGGTCCACTTAGAAATCGGCTTACCCGGATTGAACATGTGATGAGTTGGGTTGACTGACCAACCCACATGATTTAATTTAATTATTTATTATTTTATGTTTGAATATTATTAGTTAAAACTGTTTTATTCTACTGTAAATGGGGATAAAAAATAAGATGTTTCAAGATAGCAAAATATTATAGATTTATTCAAGACTTTAATCTTATAAATGGATAAGTGACATAAAAAAGATTAATATTAAAAACTTATTTATTTGCTTTTTGAGCTTGTTTTTGGATTACATTTGATTGTATGTTACTTTTTCTATTTTGAGTTGTCTTTAAGATCATTTTAGATTTAAATTTATTTAGATTTAAAAAAAACTTGTAATTAAGCGAGTAAGTGAGTCAACCCGTTTAACCCACTAACTTGTGGTGGGCCGGACTAGGTTCAAATTTTTTTTGTCTCGCTAATAAATGAGTCAGGTTGGGTTAACTCACTAAGTGATCAACCCATAATGGATTGGGTCGGGTCAAGTGGATGACCCGTTTTGAGAGCACTATATAAGATATCCTTTAACTATATGTTTACTTGGTATATTACTTTATATAATTTAAATTATTAGTGGAATTAAGATTTCTTAATGAATTCCAATATTCAGTGGCAAAAATACAAATAAACGAGAGATAAAACCAATTTATAATATATAACTGGACTTACAAAATCAGTCAATGTGAGACTTTCAACACCTCGCTAGGATAGGCTCTGACCATAGCTCTGATACATGTTAAAAAATGAACTTTAAGCCTAACTCAGTCCCATAAAACCAACTTGTAACATAAGATTTGCACCCAGTTATATATTATAAATTGATCTTATTTCTAGTAGATGTGGGACTTTCAACAACTTGATTGATCTATCTTTATAAAAAAACATAATTGAATATCATACGATAAAGATGAAAAAGAATCCTTACTACCACTAATTCCAAGATATCAATGACATCCTTTCTTTGGTCATTCGTCGACATGTCTCCACTGACAGCATCTCACTCTTTCTAACCACTAGCACATCCTCAGAGCTTGATTCCTCATTGTTGTTACTCGATGACATTGCAACAAATTACACTCTTGCTCATTGATTCCAAGAAGGAATACACTTAGGGGTGGACAAATAGAACTGAACTGCACTGTACTACTAAAATTTGTACTGAACTAAAAACTAATTTGTATAAACTGAACTGAGCTGTAAAACAGTTCAGACAAACTGTACTGAACTGTTTTTTGTTTTATCAAACTGCACTGAACTGAACTATACTAAATTGTACTAAACTACAATATAAACTAAACTGAACTACTAACTATACTAATTTTAAACTGAATTATACTAATTTTAAACTGAATTGTACTAGTTTTTAAACTGAATTGTACTAGTTTTTAAACTGAATAGTATAACAATACATGTTCTTTTTAATTGAAATTTATTTTAATATTTATTTTATTTTATTCATAAGTGTCTTACAAATTAACTTTTTAATTATTTGATATTATTATTTTCTATTTTATTTATATTTCTTTTATTATTATATGTTTATGGAAATTATTTTATTATTTATTTATTTATTTTTTATTTTTTTTTATTTTTTTTTATTTATATTTATTTTGTCATGAATATTATTTTACTTTTATATTTA